AAGAAAATGAAGAAAAATGCGTTATTAAAGATCAGTTATACCAAGTTGCTGACTGGATAAACAGGAAATATAGCCTGACCAACAAGTATAAGCTTCCACTAGCGCCTTGGCATATATTTACTCTCTTCCATACTAACTGTTTAACTTATACTATTATACAACATTTACGAGTTTACAAATTATTTTTCTAACCACTGTTCATAATGAAGTGGGGAAGAATCTGTTTTGTGGAACTGTCTTAAGGGCTGAGTGCCTCGTGATGGCATTCTGTAGTCTGGTATGTTGGCCTATTTTCTTTTGGGCTTCCTTGTCTCAGGTTTAGGAATGTCAAATGAATGAGACGTAGAAATTAATAATTTACCACTTATTTCATCAAACGTCAATTAGTCTGCCTACGGAGAAACTTACACATTTTGCTTATACGGCACTTTATAAGCTCTTTTGACTCAATCAGATAGGGAAGGTAGTCCTCGGGTTGGGGTGTTCATAAGTTCCAGGACAAATTACTGCTGGAAAATCACGCTTTTGAATGTGACTGCAATAACGGCAGACTGCATGACAAGGCTCCTGTAATATGAAATGTTTTCGTTGATTTACGTCCTCATGAAAACTGTTTTCGTTGAGCAACATAAAACGTACTCTCTGATAAAATCTACTCATTTTTATGGGCGAAAAGAATATTCTTTTTTTAGTTTTTCTAGCATAGAAATTATATAAAACGTGGTATATTATAGTATCTTTACATATTTCCAACATCAAGGAACATTAACAATGAATTCCGTCCTGGAATATGTTTCTTATACTAAAATTAAAGTATCAAAAAGCATGACACGTGTTTATTTTGCATAATATGACAGTTTAACGTTCAATAAATAAAACGAACAAAACAATAAAAATATATATTTACCATTATAATAGCACTTTTAACACAAAAGTTGCTCTTAGGACAATCCATTAACCTTGAAAACAGAAGCATCTAAGAAATCAGGATACGCGCATCTAACCGAGAAATGTAAACAAACTTTCGAAGCGCAACCAAGCGGCACAGTACGCCACTGCAGTTCATTTTCTTTGTTATTGTGTGACCGTCACCGCCTTAAATTACAAATGTCTATATAATTATATATTGCTATTGCTTTGCAACGAATAAAACAGTGAGCGATGTCTACCCTTTACGAGAGGATCGGTTTCAAACTCGCATTACAAGTTTGATGGAGATAATAATTGCGCGACAAAACAATGTAACGTCATACAGTTGTTTGAAATGTATGTATTGTTTTTGTTTGTTTGTTTTTTTGTTGGGTTTTTTTTTGTTTTTTTTTCTCGAATTTTTAATATATATGTGTAAAATCTTATCAATTGAAAACTGTTTTGTTTTACAATATTTTTTAATGAAATACGACTGCTTTGATAATAGAATTAAATGTAATGTATATATTGAAAATAACTGTTTCTGAAAATTTGCCTGACTTTTTTAGAAAAGTAGTCTATGTTTGCGAGGGTCGAATAAAAGTTTTAAATGTTCATGTCTTGCAGAATTATTGAAAAATATATACAATGATGTTTCCTTTTGAATTCAAAGTCTAAATTCGTGGATATTTTACTGTAGTTCTTTTGAAATCTAATAAATAGATAACCTAGAAACAAATGCTTATTTACCAGAGTGTTGGTAACAAACATCTTAAAAATTTACTATCAGCAACAACAATTGGGAAAAATATAATATCTATTGATATCAAATACAATAAAGTATCCTAATTACTGAAATTATTAAGTTAAAAAATGTGTATTAAGATTATATTAAATGAGGTGTAAGGTTTTCAATTCTGAAATTTTATTTAATGGGTTGAAATAAACGTGCGTGTATTAAATGCTTACCTCTTGCGATCAATATTACCTTTTTTCTGGAGTTTGTAAAGTATGTTTAAAACGAATTAAAAATAATCAACCAAAAAAAATACACAAAAATAAAACCCTATTTAAATATTACATAGGCAAATAATTATTAAAACATCTAGCCTATTACAAATTTTTTGCCGTGTACGTACAAAAATCAAGCCCCCGCGCTGACCCATGAATGACCGATTCGCACCTTCAAACATTCATACCAAGCCGTTTCGTATCAGGCATTCGGGACACGGTAATAAAAATGGAAAAAGCATTTTTTTAAGTTATCTGAAATAATGTGAAATACCTTTCAATGATTATTTTTGAACAGCAAGTTACACTCTTTGAAATCGGGAATGAAATAGTTCATATTGTTTATTAACACTCTTTAAAGCATCCAAATGTTTTTAGAAAAGTAAAGTGCAATACAAAATATCATTAAGTTTTGTAACTGGGGAAAGGACATTTGTTCCTTGAATACAACTACAGTATTTGGGTCCAGAACACCATATTGTCTCCCACTCAAGCATTTGTTCTCCAACAGCGTGAACTTTTGCCCTTCCGAAAAGTGTTCAATAAACATGCATCTCCTTGATCCAAAAACCTCCCTCTCCTTCTTATACACTATTTTGAACCATTCTTACTGTAGCAAGTTCGTAATATATGCCATAAGTGTTTTAGTTATGTTCATCAAAGGTCAAATTTAGATTTTTTAAGTAGTAATTGTTATATGTACACTATATTGTTATAGACCTTTTTACCTAAACAAGTAAGTAATGTTGGCGTGGACACAGGTGCTCGCATTTTCTACAGATATTCAAGCTTAGAAGTGCAGACTACAAACAAATTAATAATCCATATCACTTTGAATAATTGAAGATATTTTTACAAACAATCAAACTGATATTACGTGGTTTATGTTAGTTTCTCGCAGACGTATTTCCCTGGTGTTGGATACTACGTCAGTGCACATAATGGGTTGTCGGAAATAGCCGGTGAGAGTTACTGGGAGCTTATTGAACATTCTACTGGTAAACAGTATGAAGTGGGTAAGTAATACTTCCCTGGACACTAAAAGATTAAAGCTAACTTTATTGGACAAATCTTGAAATTTGTATTTCTTTATCCCCGATTTTACTTTTCCATTGGTCATTAAATATTTCCCTACCATGTAAAAGTCTTAAAAATTGCTAATACTTAAAATTTACAATTGTCATATAATTTGTAGAATATATTACACAAGTGTATGCAAATTAAACAATTATATATAACTCTTTCGAAATAATTTAAATGATCACTAGGTCTGTGTTGGTTACTAGTATATAAGGGCAATCATTATCTCACATATTGACCTTCACAAGAATCTGAGACACTTTCAAACTTTCAATTTGAATATCTAAACTAAAATCTGCTTTAGTTGGTGTCATAATCAAAATCTTTGATTTGTGTAACTTTACTCTTATTTCTATACTGTGGATAATAGTTGTTGTTGTTTTTTTGTTGTTTTTGTTGTTGTTGTTGTTGTTGTTGTTTTGTTGTTTTTTTTTTTTGTTTTTTTTTTTTTTTTGTTTTTTTTTTGTTGTTTTGTTTTTTGTTGGGTTTTGTAATATATCTCTTCAGAACTTTGATATTTATTTATAATTTCTTCTTTCAGGTTCAAATTACTATATTCCACAAGACGGTGATCATGTCGCTTGGAATTTAACCGAGCTAAATTTATCGAAATACATAACTACAGAAAAACCCTAATGAATACGGAGTGCGAGGTTAATGATCTGATTTACTTAGTCCTATAAGTTGAAGAAATAAAATGTATGCCTGGAATGAATGTTTGTTTTCAATCTTGTTTTTTCTTTCTTTCAATATTACCATACATGTATTGTGTTTGATAACGGAACAGCTGTTTCGCATAAATATTATTCATATTTGTTGGTCTTTAGCCAAACATGTGGGCGAGTATTCCTCGTCGGTGCGTAGAAATGAACAAATAAGTTCTTAACTCGACAAAGATTTTAAAAATAACTGCCATAGTATTAATAGTGTGGTGTGGTAACCCTTACTTGAAAGTAAATATAACTGACTTACAAAATGTTTTGACTCTATACAAAATACTGTAACTGTGCGTATTGGCAAAAAGCTAGACACAAAATTTGGTTCTGGGAATTTGCAAATGAATAACTATTTGGAAACTAAATCAGGGAACTAAAAATTAAAAGCTTTTCGAAATAAAAATAAAAACATTTCGTTGGCAAAATGGGCCATTTAGTATCGTACCGTTTCTTGAAGATACAAAATGCATATGTTCAGTGATCAAATGAAATAAGTAGTGTTTCTTTATTAAGTGTTATAATAGAATAATATAATATATTCTGAAAAGTTAAAAGACATAAATGTTGTGTTTCACTATATATGTTATATTTATCGCTTACATCTTCTGTTGAAATAATACAGGCAACATATATTTTACATATAACAGAGTCACTTGTCTAATTCATATGCAGCTTATTGCGTTTCATCAAGAAATAATTGAGAAGTTGATAGAGATGTGAATTTATAATGAGAGGGTCATGGTGGTTCTTGATCGCTCACTTTACATGCATTGCTAGAAAATATCTAAGCTCTTGACATTGTAGTTTCACAAAAGAAGACTTATAAGAATTATATTTCTTATAAACTAAATGACCAAAGGAATGTTTATGGAACACAAGGTGATGCTACATGCAAAATATCTAAACTTTTATCATTTTACTTTCAGATTAATTTTAAAGTCGTTTCTACTTTAAAAGTATATGTACATTAGGTGACCCCAGGTGAGGTCAATTTTGCCAGAGGCTTTTGTATTGGTCCACATCAGAATGCTTGTTGCCAAATATCTAAGCACTTGGTTTCGCCTTTGTAAACTAAGTGACCACGACCCCCGAATTTCTTCCCGAACGACATGATAATATAATTTATGTAGAGATCCACCCACCAAGCAATGCTACATGAATCATTCTAGTGATGTTTGGTCAGAATCAATCGGGTGGTTTAGAAGATGTTGTTAAAAATGTAGAAATTGCGGACTACAGATGACGAACGACGGACAAACTGTAATCACAAAAGCTCACCTCTGAGCACTTTGTATACAGGTGAGCTAAAATGGTATTATAATATAAACAAAAATGTAGTGATATACGGTTTTCTAAGGAGACAGATGTTCAATAAAGAAATTATTTACTTATGTTTGCTTTGCTTTGTAGGTTTAAAGTCACACTTAAAAAGTAGAATTCATATTGCAACTTTCCTGTGTTTCTGTGTTGTTATATTTTTCTGGTCCTTCGGGATCATTGATGATTCCAGCACTTTTAAGAGTTGAAACTTAAGTACCACTCGTACCGTTGGCAGAGGACTTGAGGGATGTTGCACTTTTTCATTTATTATTATGTACAAACTCAATCAAACGCCTTCTGCAATTATCATGCAATTTTTTGTGATTAATGATTCCGAGGGATCACACTTTATCCAGATTTTTTTTCATCTAATAAATGATACACATGCACGATTTCAAACAATCATGACAAAATTATTTCTTGATGGGATCTGCAAGTGTAGAAGAAAGAAAGAAAAAATATCTGCGAAAAAATATTATTGAGAGAACAAAGTTTTGGGTAGGTCCAGATGTACTGTTGAAATATTGATCAGCTTATTAACCATTTTGATTATCATTATTATAAAATCAAAGATCAAAACATATGCAAGGTAGTATGTACTCTTAATACGAATGATATCTGAAGGTTTTATGTGCATTTAATAAAACATTTATCTATTTAGCATAGCTTAACATTATATCAAGTTGTCAAGGCTACATAAATTTTTGACTTGCCGCATATAGCAGCTTGTATTTTTATTTATTTATTTATTTTTTGAATTGCTGTTGTTCTTGTCCTCCCTCCCTCCCCAGTGCATAGCAGTATATTTAAATGTCATTGCTTTACTTTTGTCAAAATCCCATGCAGCACAGCCTTTTATTAAAAAATCTTAATCTATTAAAATGTCAGTATTCGTTGCTGTGAGTTACAAACAATCCTCTTATCGTCTGACGACCTTTATTTATTCTTATTTTGAAAAGATATTCCCATGGCCAATGTATCTATTTAGTTATTTAGTAAGGTTAGATAAGTTTCTGTTAAAACAACAAAATTATTCTGCTGTAAAGCAATAAACATTGCCGTCTGCTATATTCCCTGTTCGCTATCTCAAACCTTATATTAATGAAAACTGTAAAGGTAAACAAATCATGTGTTATCTACAATATAATATTATATCGTTATCGCAGTTGTCTCTTTTGTAAATATGATTTTATTTTACATTGTTGATTACAATACTGAATTCTTTTGGATGCGTACACAACTGTCAACCATATATTAAATGAGGTATGCACTTGCTTTGGATTTTAAGGACTCTGGACATAAAATCAAGTCTAAAGAAATTATATTGCATTCATTAATGATTTCTATTCAAACATCACATGGTAAAAACGCTAAAAATTCATTGGTTGATTATATTTTAACAATGTGAAATATTTTTCTATATTAAGTAGATTATTTTATTCTTGCCAATACATCCAAATAAAATGTAATGCTAAGGACTTGTAACCTTTATGAATTAAACACACAACTCAACAAAATTTTGACAAAACAATGAACTGTCTCAACTTTGTAAATTTCAATTTCATAAATTCAACATTTCAATATCATGAATTCATTTCTTATTGGTAAAGTACTCGGCATTATTGACCTCAATTTGACTTGCTATAAGCCGGGCAAACGTTTTAAAGCGGGTGTTTATACACTTTCAGTGTAGTTTTTTGTAAATTGAGAGCTAATATATAACAAGAAGTTATCACTGGCATAGAACATCGAGCATTCTGGATGCTTTCGACTTGTAGGTGAAGTTTACAAACATATTTCTTATGAGAGGTAAGAATGACAATGATGTTTTGTTTATGTATATTATTAGTGAAAGGAAATATGTCTCTATATAAACGGTTGATTGGAAATATAATCTGAGCCGCTAGGCGTGTTCATATGTAAGTTAATGAGATGTAATAAAGAATTACCTGAAAAAACACATGTGAAGCGAGGTGTTTAGGCCGCCATTTGTCAGTACGCGTTACCATAAAAGTCACGTGATTCCCTACCGTTATACATACCTTGATAAAACTAAAAAATACCTGTAATTCAACGGTTATATTTATAACCTGTCACTTCAAAACCAATGATTTAGTCAAACAGGTATTTTACGATTTCTTTGCGGCAATAAAAAAACAGTGAGCAAGGTCTTCTCTGTACGAGAGGATCGGTTTCCAACTCGCATTTCAAGTTTATAGGAGAAAATAATTACCTGACAAAACGATGTTACTTCATACAGATGTCTGAAATGTATGTACTTTTTTATATATTGATTCCGATTTTCTAATGCTTAAGAAAACTGTCTTTAAATTAATTAAAAAAAACACAACGACTGCTTTGATAATAAAAGAAATTAAATGTTATGCTCATATTAAAAAATACCGTTTCTGAAAATTTGCCTGATTATTTTAGAAAAGTTGTCTATGTTTGCTAGTTAAGCCAGCAGGCGTTTCTATTTGAATTCAAAATGTATTTCTTATGTCGTATCATTCATATGTAATAAAAAGGTTACAAAGAAACAAACGCTTATTTATCAATATTGATGACGAAAAAACATTTTATCAAGGAAACAGATATCACTTTTGAGTGTTTTGTTGTACAATAATGCAAGATTAAGTTCAAATACGCAGGAATATAATTATAAAGCATTTGAAGGTACTATAAACCGGTGTCACGTAATAATCACATAGGCGTGCATGTAACCAGGTCCACGGTTTATACATGGTTTTTGTTGTCTTGCTTTTTGTTGTTTTCTTTTTTCTGTTGGTTTTTTTTAAGCAAAGCGCTTTGAAAATTGGTATAAATCATCAGCATATAGCAGAAATTTCGATGTATTTTTCTTGCGTGGAATTGATCAAAATAGCAGCCAAATTTTGCATCTTTCGTAGGGCATTTTTAAACAACCTGCAAGGTTCTAAAATATCAAATTCATGTAAATGAATAAATTTAAAAAATTATTATTTCCGTAACAGAAACTACAAATTTAAAATTTGCCATTCATGACTATACACATTTATGTTTAATTATGTCGCAGCTCAAATGAAACAAAGGGGCTCGTTGACTCTGCAGTGAGTTCTGGACCTGGGGTAGAGGGGTCTGTAAAAAGACAAGTATGCGCTAATCAAAATATTTATTGTTCACTTCAGCGAAACCGTGGCCTGCGCCAACAATTTCTCAATTCAAGTGCAAAATATGAAAATCACAAAAATCATAGAATGGCATAATATATATGAATAATAATAGCAACATCTGCAAAAGTCTATTTACCTGTAATAAGACAAGTATGCGCTACTAAAAATATTTATTGTTCTCTCCAACAAAACCGTGGCCTGCACCAACAATTTCTCAATTCAAGTGCGCATGCGTCGTGCAGATTAGCGGGAAAATAAATGCAAGAAAAGATAATAGAAAAGATTGAAAAGGTTATAAAGTACTATTATGTATAGGTAACGACTATTGGATATTAGCTATGAGTACATGAATTAAAGAAATAACTATGGTAAACAAGAAGAGACATGGACAAGAACATATAAATATACAGAGACAGACATGAACACGAACAGATCAAAAATATACAGCAATTGGCAATACGGACAATGTATACTTTACCCTGTGACATCATCCCCTTCATAGGGAAATGTCGTTCCGACATTTAACAAAGGTCAACCCGGATACACTTACCTTAGAATAGCTAAACCGCAAGGTTCTTCTCTATACTTCTCAATAATACTCTATACTCCTGTACATGTCGTAAAAAATAGACTATTTCTATAGAATAGATAAATACAGAATCCCTAAAGAAAGCCCAACACGGCGAAATTGAAAATGTTGCAGGCTCGGTTTGATTGAGCCTGTTCATGGACGGTACTGGAAAGTGCAAGTTACCGTCCACGCCCCCTAGCACCGGCTTAAGCAGAATTCAACATTTAACATGAACTGGTAAAATTTAGAATTTTGAAACATCCGCAGATGTGTTCATATGGCGTTTATCATGGAACCTTCAATGTGACACGGTAGTGCCATTCCATGAAAAGCGGCATATGGTCCCCAAGTAAAAAAATGCGTGTGCCCTAAACGAGAAAACAATGGGCGGAACTAAATAAAATGGAATTTTGAAAGGGGATCTGAGGTTATGAAGCCTGCGTATCACAGATAGGACGTCAAAAGACAAATTTAAAAAGCAGGCAACATATCCTAAGGGTGATTCAACATTATTCAAGTAGGAATATTGGAACCACCCAACTAGAAAGTGCCAAAAAGTTGAAACTAAAAATACCACAAGCACAACAATAATGTCGTGCTGAACGATCTTCAAGGATCGAAAATATAACATCATTGATTAAATGTACGGGGAGACTTTTTACAGCCGCCACACGGCACAAATAACACGGATGTGATCAATCACTACATAGTTAACAATAATCTAAAATCTGTCAAAGTTTCATGTTAAATCACAGAGACAGGGTACAATATACATATGTATCAGGCTTATATGCTTACATAAATGTCAATATACAATAAAACTCATTAAGAACACTTCCGTAAATGACTATCAAGCACTTAATTCAGTATTCATCTCACAGATGGCATTTAAATATGTGAGGTTTCCTATAAAATTCTGGAAACAAAGTGATCCCTCGGAAGCATTAATCACAACAAAATAACATAAGAATTGCAGACTCGGTTTGATTGAGTCTGTACATGAGGGATAAAGAATAAGTGCAACATCCCTCACGCCCCCTAGCACCGGCTTGAGCGGTACTCAATTCTCAACACTTTATAGTGTTGGCATCAATGACCCCGAAGGACCAGAAAATATAACAACACTGAAGTGAAGTACGGGGCAACTTTTTACGGCTGCCACACAGCACTTGACACCTGCTGTTGTGAAGTACAAAATTCTGGAAACAAAGTGATCCCTCGGAAGCATTAATCACAACAAAATAACATAAGAATTGCAGACTCGGTTTGATTGAGTCTGTACATGAGGGATAATGAATAAGTGCAACATCCCTCACGCCCCCTAGCACCGGCTTGAGCGGTACTCAATTCTCAACACTTTATAGTGTTGGCATCAATGATCCCGAAGGATAAAGCGCACACAACATGAGAACCACAATGTAATTTGAGTATATGCAGTAAAGCAAAAATACCACTTCGTTACAGATAAACCCCATAAAATAAATTTTATAAATGAGAGTAAAATTGTGCTATGACATCACTGTCCCTTTCAAATACCATTTTCTTAAAGCTTGAGATCATACTCAAACAACAAGAAAATATGCTATGTCACCCAATAAGTTGATGTTAACCAACTTGGCGGCTTTCTTTTTCTAGCAACACGGTCAGGGAAAAAAGGGTAATGCACATGGATTAAGAGTGGACTTTAAGGAATGGCATATTTCTCAACAGACGGGGAGGTGAGAGGAGGAGTTTTAGAACTACATGTTGTGTCTACAGTGTGCACTGGATTGGTACAAGAAAAAGAAGCGTCAGATTCAACTGAGTTTTTGAGAGGAAGACCTAAGTCTTCCAGGGTACCTAACATGTTCAATAACGTCTGATTAAAGCGTTCTGGCATGCCATTGCCTTGGGGATGGTATGGAGTGGTCCGAGATTTCTCAACATGGGCAAGCTTATACAGTTCCTTGATGACAGCAGATTCAAAATTACGGCCTTGATCACTGTTTAAGCGGCTAGGGGATCCCTAATGGCAAATTAACTGCTCAAATAAAATATTGGCCGTTGTATGGGCTGTCTGGTTCTTAGTGGGGATAGCGTAAAATGATCAGTAATGACCAATATATGCTCAAAGCCACCCGCAGACATTTCCAAGGACAGATAATCAATACAAACAAGCTCAAGTGGAAACGTCGATTCCACAGAGACAAGAGATGTGGTCTTTCCAATAGGGATTTTACGTCGAATGCATCTGGCACATTACTGTATACGCTTTTCAACGTACGCATCTAGACCGGGCCAGAAGAATCTGGACTTGATCAAAGATAAGGTCCGATCTCTTCCCTGATGACCTGCCTCATATTGTAATCCTGAGAAAATAATGTCATGAAAAACAATGGGTACCACCAGTTGTACTACAGGATTAGCGGACACAAGTTCTTTGATAGATGTAGGTACTGGCCATTTCTGTAGAACACTAAGTCTTGCCTTTTATGGATCAGTTCTAACACCATTTGCATCAACCACATGGCCTAAATACTTTACTTTAAGTTTAAGAACCTCGCATTTACAACCTTTAAGTTTCAACCCATACTGTCCCAATTTATAAAACGCTGCTACAAGTCTCTCAAAATGCTGTTGAACGGTGTCACTAAAGATAAAAACGTCGTCTAAAAAATAACACATTCTTGAAGGTGCAGTTCTCCCATACAGCGCTGCATTTACCGCTGTAAAGTTGCGAGAGCGTTTGTTAAACCGAAAGGACCACCAGTGAAAACAGTCTTTGTTTTGTCTGTTTCTCTTAAAGGAACCTGCCAGTGCCCTGAACGAAGATCAAGTTTTGAAAAGAATTTTGAACCTGCAAGACAGTCAATGGTTTTATCTATGCCGGAAAGTGCATAGGCATCCTTCAGGGTATTGTTATTCAATCGACGGAAGTCGATACAAAACCGAAGGGAACCATCGTTCTTCCTGACCAAAACCACGTTTGCTAAAAATGGACTGTGTGAGTGTCTTATAGCACCAGCTTTCAGCATTTTTTGAATATGCTCTCTTATCTTTCAAACATGCGAGGTGGAATCCTTCTGTAAGGTTCTTTGAATGGCTTAGGGTCAAACAACTTAATTTGTGCTCAACAGACTTAGAACAGCCAAGATCTGTTATCCCAGAGAAAAAGATATGTTTTCAGTTGCTAAGAAATTTAACAACCTGAGATTGTTCATCACCCGAGAGGTTATCAGAAGCTATTGTTACACCAAGTTCTTCAAGACTCTTATCTTGGTTATGGGATTTGGAGACTGAACTTTTTAAGGGATCAAGAGAACGAACAACTTCTACCTGCTTTAAACTACAAAGAACAGAGTTCGGGTAAATAACCACTGGTCTTGCTGACAAATTGCAAATCCTAACCGGAATTCTAAAAAAAAAGCTTTACCTGGGCGAACACTGACAACCCTCAAAAGGATAGAGGAAGAATCAAATGTCTCAGTAACACCAACAGTCATGTCATCAACATCTCTAACCTTCCCAGTGACGATAGGTGTCTGGGATGGCTGAATTGTTATAGGCCT